ATGCGTACCAGTTATGTGCACCTGTATATAACCCCTCACAACGCGATCTGGGGACTCTTTTTTTCTTGCTGCCTTTGACGTGATGATCCTTGACGTCTGTCAGGGCTTCATTACCATTCCTCACATCATCCGTGATACATTTTCCGCATTGTAAAGTAGTATACTTGTACATCATCCACATCAAAACAGACGTGCACGTTAGGGTACTACATGGTTTAATAGTGACGAATGTTGGTGAATGGACAAATCAAAAGCAAATCCTCCCAAATGCACGTCTCAAAGTCTGGACTCTAGATAACTTTATTGAAAGCAAAGCAAGACATTCATTATCCTTAGTTTACTTTTGTTTTGGATGATTTGTTATGGGTTTTATGAAGAGAGCACCACTTATATTCAATGGCTGTTAGAATGTGTAATCAAAGACTACAGACTTTCATTAGACAATCAGAGCAAACTATCCACTCAGATTCTTTATGACACCAACACAGCAGGGAGAGAGACTGTCTGAGAGATAAAGAGAGCGAGAGCGAGCTGGAGAGAAACGCCCGAGTCAGACCCTCCTAAACGTGACCAGACTAGTGATGTTGTGGTGAATTACCGGTAAAGCTCCAGAGCGAAACACTTCCTTAACTCCAGCAGTATGTGTTGTGAGAATCAGGCCACAGCATAAGAAAACATTTTTATTCAACATTCACACAGAGAATATACACCCACTCGAGCATCACACAGTGTACATTTAAAACCACATCTATGCAAAGTGGCCCTGCATACGCTGCCAATATTCTGTTGTCCTCTGGTGAAAGGAATTGCCTTAGAGCAGTGAATTATGTTTTTAAGTAGGGAACTTAGGGAATCAAAGGTGGGCAACTTCATATTGTTGTGCTGCCAGGCGAACAATGATCAGAGCACAATCACTCACTTCCGTACATACTGACTATATTTATAAGTGGAGTACATATAACTGTCAATAAATTGGCATGTACGACGCTGAGGAGGAGACCCAGTAGGAGAGAGTGTGGGACAATAGTGTTACCCCATAGTAGCACACATTTAAAAAGAAGTGTAAATATTCACACTCCCATGTTTGACTACGTACACAACGATGCACATTAATCGGCAAATTGATCACCTTAAGTTAAATATAACTTAATCTAAACTGCATTCAAACTTAAATCTCTTGAGTGTCGATGAAAAAAATGTTACCTCTTTGAAAACACAAAAGCAAAAGTTGAGGCATATATCTCCCCGAAAAAGAAACATACTGTTATTGCTGTAACTCCCATTGGAAACAGCCCCTGGACTTAAACAAGATGTTCCGAAGAGCATTCACTGACTCTCAGGTGAGTCAACCTAACAGCCAATCAATATATATCTAGCGTTCTGTACTCTCCAACAAATACCTCTTTCTGCCTCACTCACGCACACAGATGCGTTCCCTTCATAGGTTGGAACAAGAGGACGTATTTCAGCACTGCAGGAATAATCCATATCCTCTCTTAATGTCAGTGTCCTCAATTCCACTGGGTATAGGGTTAAAAAAAAAAGAGAGAACAAAGGATGGAAGTCTACCTAGTGGGATCAAAATCCCTTTGGCTCTTAGATCTCCTTGCAGAAATAAGTAGGTTGCATTTACGCAGGGAGTTTTGTATTGTCAGTGAAAAACAAAACAAAAGATAACCCCGATGGGAAAAAGAGTTTGCTAAATTCACCGGAATGGAAAAAGAAGACATAACTTTTGTCTGCAAACAGTTTCTCTAAAATGGTGACATTATGGAACTGTGATGAAGCAATTTTCCCACCCAAAACATTTCTTTTTTTGTAGAACCAAGTGAGTATTGGTAATATTCAAAGTGTTTCCGAATCAACATTCAGACACTTTAGAATCTCTATTTACAGTATCTAAGGTGTTGCGAGAGATGCTTTCAACATCTCAAGAGAGCACTACTGGAAGATGAAAATGTATTACAGTCCTTTGCAAAACAATTGAGCAACAAAGAAAATTACAAGTCAAATAGCTGTGAGTTCCACTTAGTAGCAAGTGCGCGAATGAGCATCTGGCAATTGGCGAGCGTCAGGCGTTATTTAGATTGCCTCAAAGTGGATGGTGATGGGGAAGAAAAATCAATGTGGATGCAAACAGTGTAATGGCAGAGTAATGTGTTCCCCTGGGCAAGCAACCCAGAAGAAATCCTGTCAGGGTAATGCGGAGTGGAGGTGGAATTCAGTTGGTGTCTTTTAACCAACCCTTTCCACTGCCACATTCAATGCACATGCACATCTCGGCTCCTGAAGTCAGTTTTCAAGGCTGTCTTCTCTCGCTGCCTCCTCAGAATGCCAACTCTGCAGAGCCGCCAATCAAAGCAGTTGGATGGTACGGTAAACAAGAATGTAAGTAGGCAGGATCACATATGCAAAAGGGGTGATGCTCTTGATGGTGATTGATGTTGTTTATTCTGGGTCATCCTCTCAAAACACCGACACACACACAGATACACACATTCAAACAACAGGAGAACAGGGAACATGAAAGCTTGACCTGTTTTCGTTTAAGCTGTTGTGGATCGATCAGAGAGGCATGGTTTTGATCCTGATTCCTGGCCTCTCTTCTTCTATTGGACCACTCAACCTGTCCGTCAGATATCAATCAATACTGCTCCTAGAACTCCTAGAAAGTTGCTATGCTTATATAGTGAATACATTAGCTGATGGGATTCCGACACTATACACAGTCTATAGCTGTGAAACCACTCAAACTCACTCTTCCATTCATGACATTTGGTCACACCACACCACACAGATAAATATGTTTGTAGCTTCTAACTTCAGATAAGATTGAAAGCAATCAATTACAGTTTTTAGACTAAAAGTTATTTCTCTATTCTGAAATAAGGAAGCTGAAATAAAGAAACAGCACTGAAACCATAACTTATCACTATAAATAAACGTTTGTTAATATCACCAATCAGCCAATTATTTGGTTGGAATGAGAGAAAGCGTCCAGCCCTACTGAGCCATTCACTGAGAGGATGTGTGATTTAGGTCAACACCATCATAGCACTCCACCTGACCTCTGTAATTGGCCACCAGCTGTGAAATTGGTAGCCCTCCACCCATCTTTCTAGTTCCTCACTTCCATGTCCATCCTCTCCTCCAAAGGTCGAGCTCTCCCCTCCTCTTCTCTGGTGTCTGCTGATCTTACTGTTTGAACCTGTCACCCCCTTGGTCTGTCCTTATTGCTCGCCTCTAACTTAACAATGATAAATACCAAAACACCAAGACACAGCCTATTGTGCTGGAAATAGGCTAGTCATTTTTTATGTTTTAGAAGAAAAGCGCTCTTGACATGTCAACAATTTGAGTGTGAAATCAAAACCAGCATGAAACAATGGAGGCAAGCCAGCATGTCTGCATTGTGTCCTCTGTCCCCTGTGCTGTCCTTTTCTTGCAATGTGCATAACCAACTGTGACTTGCACTATGCATCGCTTGCCAATAGCCTGTCTCTCTCTTTTCTGGTCACTTTCTTCCCGCTGTTTTCCCTTGCTCTTTAAGACAGTTTTAGCCATGCCGCAGGTGCACCTCAATAGGCGCCCATGGCAACAATCTCCTCAAAGATGACAGACTCAGCAGAGGTTTGGGCACCACTCAAGACAACAGAGATCAAATCAAAGTCTGGGACAAGAAGCTGATGACATTGTAAAAAAAAAAATTGCAAAAGAAGCATAGTTGGGCTGCCGTCTGTGGGATTCTGGGAAGCCATCAACTCTCAGTAGGCCAAGCAGAGATTCAAAGAGACTTTAATATCAGGCTACAAGGCACAATTCTCAGCTTTAAGAGCGCTCAGAGTCAATCAAGTTCTTCTCGGGAAGTGTTTTTAGTTAACTACTGAGTGAATGAGTGAAACTGACACCAGTTTCCAGGGGCCATCTCACTCTAAGATGACTTCTCATATCTTCTCTCTGAACCTTTTTCCTCTACCAACAGTCCTCTATCCCTCCGTCTCTCTCCGTGTTTCAAGGGTTTAATAGCTCAGCCGATGCTACCCCATGTCCCTTCCTGCCAACAGCCTGTGGCTCTAACTTCAAAGTCTCCTCTGCCTTTTCTTATTCATCTTAACTTCCTGTCCCATGGTCCTGAATCTAAACCTGCATTTTTAGAACTAATTGAAGACAAACAGTGGGTTTCTGCTTGTGAATAACAGGTGCATCCATCCACAAGGTATTCAAACTTGATGTATATATGTCATGCTAACATTCGCCTTGTGTTTGACAGAAAGTCGCAGAAAGAGTGTGAAAGAGTACATCTTACAGTGCCAGCACAAATGCATGGAAGTCTGGCTAAAACGTGTGAATATGTATGTTCATATGTTCCCATATGGGCTCGACTGTGTGTGTGGGTGAAACAACACTATACGGCTGGTGGTGGTAATCAAGCTCACTAATTACTTCCTGAGCTGAGAGAGTTGTCAGAGAGAGGAGGAGCTGCCACAGATGGTGAGAGACCCACACTGACACCAGGAGATCCTACCTCTTCATCATTAGAGCTGAGCATGTGTGTTTGTGTGAGACTAAGTAATTGAGGATGTAAGACCAACAAGATTGAGTGTTCAAATTACACTTTAAAACCTCAGACCACATGGTACACCCGGGCAGGTAAGAAGCTTTGAACATGATATCAAATAAACGTTTTATCCTTCTATTTAATATTTCCATTTCAAATAAACTACCAGTAGCAATTTATATTAGGTTAGCCTGATGTTTAAATTGATTCCTGCTCCTCTGGTATTCCCCAGACAGCTATTTATCCAGGTACAGTCATGCTCAGCCAATCTACATTCAACTGAACGTACACAACATCCATCCACTTCCAACCATTCTTCAACCAGCTCATTTGGACATATGCAAGTGCCTGAGTGCAGGTGGTGCATCAGCATACTTCCATTCCCTTTCTGTTCCTAGATGAGCTTTCCTTCCAGACAAATAGCAACAGGCCAACTACTCACCATTGTGAAGAGCCGTCAGTGCCGCTGACCTCCAGCAAGTCATAGTCGTCCTCCAGCTGAAAGTCGGAGAAAACCAGGGCAATGGTGTCTCCTGGCTCGGCCAGCACCGTCCAGGTGCAGTCAGCGTTGTTGTTGTACTCGGACGGGTAATTGGGAGTGGTGATCACCCCACTCTGGCCCCGCAGTGTCCCGCCACACCCATCATCCGCTGCAGAGAGCAGAGGAGAAGGACAGTGATGTGAAGCTTAGTAAAACAGGGAAACTCCAAAGAAAACAACAAAGATAATCCCCAAATTATTGTACAGAGATTATTGAAGATGCGCCTACACGTGGAAAAAAGTAGGAAGGTAATTAAAGGCTAACGAACACAAACTGACGCTTAAATGCAGCAGAAGGTATAATTTACATTTGTATAGGCGGTAGTGAGCTTATTGAATATTAGCAACATAAGGCGTCAATGTCAACAATAACATGATATAACTCTCCAGAATACATGGGCTATATCGACCAATAAAGTCATTAACTAAATGTGTGAAAGTAAAAAAGAATGACCTAATTAGACAGATACCGATTTCGTAACTTTTAAAACAGATCAAGATGGCAGATTTGAAGTTTTGCCAGGAAAATTGTGTTAGATATTAGCATATTAAGCTATAAAACATGTATTATTTACTTTTCTTGGCTGCAAATTATCTTTTTGCCACTAGCCAAAGTGCATATTTAACATTTCAGGAGCACAAAAATAGGCAGTGAGTCAGAGAGTATTGTTCCTTTGTCTGCAATTTTCGCCACAGGCCGGAGGACACCAGTCTTAGGATTTGAAAATGCCCTACAGATGTTTTAGTGTAGGGTGTGATGCAACCAAACGCAACATAGAGAGGAAAGTGATTACGTTCTCATTAATTCACATTTGTGTTAATTAAAAGCAACTCTTCCCTCTTTAAGACTGCTTTAAGTGGATCATTTAGAAATAAAGCAAGCATTTTAGTTGCCAGAATACATCCCCGGCCCAGCTTCTGATATGTTCATCACAGCTTTGGACAATACAGGTGATCCGAAACAACATTTGTTGAATTTGTGGAATATATATTTATAAATATCTTGTGTATACATCACTACAATATGTACTGGTGAACAGAAGGGACTCATCAAGTGAAGTTTTTAATGACACGTCCACACTAATACTGTTGCTGAAATGATTTGTGCCTGGGGGTGTATGTGTTTGTGTGAGGGGGAGCTCCGAGGCACCGGGCCCTGTCTATCATCCATCCCACCTGTCACCACGGCAACCCCCCTAAGGGAGGGCAAGTGAGTGTACGGGCGAGCGGAAACTTGTGAGGTGTGAACTTGAAGAGGGAGGGAAACCACGACAGAAGGGAGAAGAAGGGGATGAAGAGGATGACAGGTGACAAGCAAGGATGGGGGAGAGAAAAGTGCAGAGGGAGGGTGGACACTGAGGAGCGAGAGAGAGAGAGAGAGAGATGGCGAGAGAGGTGACAGGTGATTGTTGCAGTGGGAGTGACAGGAAGTAGAAGGAAGACAGAAGAAAGTATGAGGGAGAGCATTGATATTCCACACACGACGGTTTCTTCACACTTGAAGGGAAGTCTCTGCCTGCTACTCTCCCTTTCACCTTGGCTCTCCATATCGTGGCTGACAGTGGCCGATGCAAGTGCTGACCAAAAATGGAAAACTAAATGGCTATACCATGGGCAGTATGAAACCAAAAACCTATGAAAACTTTTACTGAAACTTTAAAATGTTTCCCTTCCCTCGAGGTGAGGATGCTTCCCATTGAACAGAACCTATTTACAGGCTTTTACGTAGGATGTCACGGTTTTAAAGTAAGTGTAAGGAGCTGCTTTGAGTGCTATCAGGGTTCATACACTTTTTCACCAATGATTTTCCATGACTTCTCCATGACCTTTGCCTAATTTTCCATGACCAAAACAATTACTCTTTCTCAGCGGTACCACTGAAAATTGTTTATTTTAACATGGAACAGGAAAATAAGGTCTGCATATGAAACATGTTGTGCCTATCTAAAACAAATAGTTTTAATAGCCAAATAGTTGGCTTACTAGCTCCTACACGCTAAAGCAGGGGTCGGCAACCCCTGGCACGCGTGCCAGCATTGGCACGCGGCACCGTAGCCAGTGGCACACTAGGAATAAGTCGAATAAGTGTGCAAAATATTTAAATTGTATTTTCGGATCCTGAACGAGACCGCCGCCAGAGCGCGTCTCCCTGTTACCTGCAGAAGGAAGCCATGCACGCAATGCAGCCCCGCTCTCTTTAACTCCAGGTGACTTTCTGCCGCTTTCCTCCGTGGTGCAGTGCTGATCGTTTCACCACGGAAGAAAGCACTTCACAAATTGCAGTACCCATAAGGAGCTTTACAAATGTCGCAGTTTTTGCGTGGCTGTGTCTTTAGTTGAAAGCCCAGTGGCGATCTGCTCATCTCTCATTGAAATAATATGCTACAAAGGGGCGGACTGGCCATCTGTGTGTTGAACTTTCCTGTCGGCTCCCAGACCGTAGTCGAGGAGGGCAGAAGCAACAAGCTTCAGGTTCAATAACCCACTTTAGCTTAAATGACTGGAGAGAGGCGAGCTCTTCTTGGGAGGCCGTTGCATTTATTTAGCTGTTCTTCTGTTTCACAAAATACATCACAGACCTCTGTTTTTCTGCTGCCTCGTTTCACTTCCAGAAACATACTCACACGCACACGCCACACCCCTCTCTCTCTCTCTTAAAGGGACAGCGATCTCATCTCACTCTGCATGACCCTAATATCATAACATGTGTGTTCTGGAGAATCACAGAACGGACGATCGTCCTTATTATTATGCCGTTTAAACCAATTATTTAAATGTGTTTGTTAAATTCGGCATCATGTAAGTTGCGCTGACAGGTCCACACACTGCTTCCCCGCAGCGAGGCCCCCCCGCCCTCCTGTTGATAGATCACGAGCGTCAAGCTCCTCAACATCCTCAACAGCACCCCCCCCCGTTGATAATTCTCGATCGTTGGCACGCTGATAAATTTTTTTTTTTTAAATGGCACTTCATATCAAAAAGGTTGCCGACCCCTGCGCTAAAGCAACTCAAATCTCTCACCAGCAAAATACCTCAACAGTTAAATGCCATTTTACATTTCATTACTATTCCATACAGTATTTATTATCATTATAGTATTACTATTTCGGCGATTAGATAAAATATAAATTATATTTGATGCAACTTTAGTTACATTTCCATGACTTTTCCAACACTTTGGGAAAAATATTGTTTTCCATAACTTTTCCAGGGCCTGGAATTAGCATTTTGAATTTCCATGACTTTTCCAGGTTTTTAATGACCGTAAGAACCCTGTGCTATGGTAAGTAAGATATGTGCAAATTCATGCAAGCTATAAAAACATTTATGCCATCAAAAATACATGTTTACATTCACTAAACATGCTCCCAGCTAACACTTAGCTTGGATTTCAAAACACATTTCAAAACAGAGTGCTTTTGTAATCGTCCGAATAAAGCATAAGCAGCAGAAGATGAATGGATATGTGCATGTGATTCTGTATCTATAAAAAGGATGACATTTAGAAGTTAAAGTGGTAAGCCTTTTTCTGGAATATGGATATGCTTAAGGGTTAGGAGAGAGTGTTAGAAACGGAATAAAAGAGTGAGGTTAAATCACTTCTAAAAATACTCATGACAAGTGATGTCGTTTTTAAAGATTATAGCTAAGGGAAGAAATTGATGAGCATAAGACAGGATATGTAAAACATTATCTGTGACATCAATGGCTGGTTATCTTCTATGGCCTGACAGCGCTGGCACGTTTGCCCTCTCTTCAGTCCAGAATAGTGACTGTGCCAGAATGTTCTTCCCCGCTCCCAAAGTGAAGTGTCAGTTCTGCTTCTACACATATAGCCATTGGCTGGCTCGAAAATCAGAGTGACATTAACAATACACTAATGCCTTATGAAGGAGGACTCAAGTGTACAAGTCGATTTTTATATGGCATTATGAGACCTCAGTTGCCTGTTTCTTAATCTTGTTTATATTTGCTGAAACAGTGGCATAATCACATCCTTTAGGGCTTAAGCTTTTTTCTATTTTCTTTGTCAGGATCAGTCTTGTTGGGGCATTTAAAAGGAGCATGAAGAAGCTTAGTTTGGATATAAACAACAAATTGTTAGTGAAGTTAAAGAGAAAAAGAAAGAGGGAAGGAATATGGCACAATTCTTAACAGAATATAAGAATATAAGATCATCATAACTTTGCATATAAATGTGGATTAGAGGCGTGTGCATGTGATTTGGTGGGTGGGGAATGTGCTGGCACGTGGTGACCAACCATGTGTGCCCCTATGTGGGCTTCCTGACTCCCAGCCTGGGTGCAGATGGCCCAGTGTCTCAGCGTCCTGCTCAGCCAGCACACTGACACAAAGCATCGGCCACATGGGCAGAGCAAAAGGACATACATGAACATGCTAACATGTTCCCTATGCATGCATTTTAATTATGGGAGAATTTACTTTTAGTTAAGGCAAAATCCTGCAAAAGGATGTCAAATAATATCACGTTTGCCTACAGTGAAACATTATCAAGAATTGTGTGATGATAGGTCAGCCAACACATACTGGCAGGTGTCGCTGCCACAGGGGGGCTTGCTAACTGTGAGGAAAGGGCAACTGGCACAAGCACCTGACTGGGAGCTAACACATGAGGTCCTGTCATGGTAAATAAGATATCAGTATAACTACAGAAAACCTCCTGAGGTCATGTGGAGACGTGTTTGAATCACAGAATGTATATTATGTAAGGTTTACATACATGTGAGTGTGTGTGGACTGGAGGATGGGTGTATTGATTGGTAAATGATGGACAATAAAAGGTTGAATACTCTTTTAGAGAGATACAAATCATATTTTAGTTGTCACATATCTAATGAATGTAATTTGGTATCATCAAGATTTGTATTTTTGTAATTCTGATGTAATCCTGAAATAACATCCTCGTGATTTGGCCCAAAATTATCTTTGTTATTAGTCAATATAAAATAAGTAATTTTTAGCAAATATTTATCAAATAAATGTGATCATCTGAGGTATATCTCTGAGCATTCTTTCAGCCCTCAGAGGCATACCATTTTCTGCAAAGCTAATTGTAACGTTTGCTTTATAGACAAAGTCCTCAGATTTAGCCCAAAGACCTGTTCTGGCAGACAGTTTTTCCCTGGTCCCTCCTTCATACCTCTGCAGTAGGGAAGGGGGAAATCCCAGGCAGCAGTGCCCGCTGAAGTGGCGAGGCAGGACAGGGTTGTGTGACCCTCAAGCACGTATCCCGGGCTGCAGCTGTAGCGGATTTTGTCCCCAATGTTGAACGTGGACCCCTGCTGGTGGCCATTGAGTAGCTGTCCAGGATTACCACAAGTGTAGCTGGGCAGAGCTGGAGAGAGAGGGGAGAGAATAAAGAGTTAATGAGGCAGCCTGGGGCACTTTGTCGTGTTAGTACTGACAAGAGGCAGAACATCAGTGAAAAGAACAGGAACAGTCTGGTCAATGACACACACACACACACACACGCCAACATATCTGACCCAGCAATGAATGACTTCCAAAAAACACGAATAAAAAATTGCCTTGCTATACACAGATCTGTGTAATAGCAAAAGTCTTAATACAGCACTACCAACCAGATGATGTACCATTGTATGTAACATTATTAACATTTTATATCCTCTCGTCGATTTACATATCAATTTATTTTTAAAGTGCTTTTGATGTCATGTTGACCATCATGGCTAGTCCAATCATGTCCTTGCATGCACATAAGTGAGCCCTGTATTGACAGAACCTAGTCTAATTGTGTGTTATTATGCAAATCGAGTTCAAAGGAAGTTCAGCCAATCTCTTGCTCCTGATCCCCTTGATTTAGTGGTGCAGTAAAAGACATGTTATTGTAGCTTCTTTTCTCATTGATGACATAGTGTACGTATAACAGCTACGCGTTGGCTATACAATTATATATAGTGAGAGGGTGGATAGTTTTTAATTTCTGCATTTCATATGATTAATATGTCTGAATTTAAGTGCCATGACCAAACATGCGTTCCACACACGTGCACTCTGCCATCCAGCCTGCAGCCCCAGTCACACACTCCCACACAGGGAGGGAGCTGGCCAGAGCATGTGATGGACTTTGGATGAAACTCAGTGTCTCCACAGGGGGTCTGTGCTGAACTCCGTAGAGGACCGAATTGCTCCTATCCTGCAACACAGCTTACTGGCACCTTAACCGCACACTCAATGTACAATTCCCTTTTTTATAAAAATGTATCCAGCCTTAACAAAATATATTGACAAGAAATCCAGCCCCATATTTAGTTTGGAAAATGTTCTTCATTTGTTTTAAGATATGTCTAAACAAGGATAAGCATGATTACATGACATGTCTTCTTTGCAACAGTGTTTTTTTATATGCATCACACACCCTACAAAACGCTTTAAAAAAACATTTTGATGTTGGCTTTTATTCTTTCCCTTTTCTAACACAGTAAGCTAAAACATCCTTACAGCAAGGTCTAACAAGGACGGATCAATCATTTTTATCCAACAGTGCATTCCACAGGGCTTGAGCGGTGGAATTAACTGGCTGCTAAATAAATACACTGCAAAATGTTTGTGTCCAGTCCACCATCAGACAACAAACATGACCTTCAAGAGCATTATTTTGGATGTGTCTGTGTGCATGTTCCCTTCACAAAAGGTTACCTTAACTGTGTAAGCCTTAAGTGACGCTATCTCACAGCTTGGATATGAATTTGGGCTATTTTGTTATGTTTGGCAGTCTATATTTATGGACTGTGTGTTGAGGGGTTTGCAGTTGACAGATGTCCAAAAAAAAGAGTAGGAAATGTACTGTCTCGCCATTCAGTGCGAGTCCCCGTATTTGGAAATGCATTAGTGACTGACAGAATACAAATTCATACAAACATCAAAAGGTCAGAAAAAGTGTTGAACATATGATATTTATAGACAGTAAGTTATTAAAACATTAGAAATTAATAACAAGTATTTAAATGCGTATTTGTGTGAAGGGGGATTTGGAGGTAATGGACTTTCTCTGCATGTGGATCCGTCTATAATGAAATATGTGCTTTGCATTTCACAATTTCTTCCTTTAAATACATTTCTAATTAAACATGTCTCATAATGTTCCCAATTTGCTAAGCCACTCAAGCCGCTCGTTTTGCAAGGATTTCCCACCTAAAAATATACGAGCACAGAGTAGTTCCAATCAAGAAAGTCAGTATCAACATTGTTGATCAACAGAAAAACATCAGCCAACTCTATTATTGTCACAATTAGAAATTCCCTACTTTTCAAAAGAAGCACTTATATAAAAAGTGAAATGTGCAGTGACTCACAGAGGACTACAGCTGCGTGCTGCACTTCTAGTTCCAGCCCAATCAGTCATTTCACAGCAGGTGTTTTCCATCATCTGTTTAAGGTGGAACACCTGTTCAGACATCAAAGATTCTAGCCTGAATGACTCAGTGCTGATTTATCTTTTAAAATACCTTATTAGTACTCGGGTACTCTCCCTCTTGCTATACTCTGATGACAGAGTGACTTGTCACTTTCAGGCTCCACTGTGCCATAGCCTTTATTTTGACCAGCCAAGGCCACCTTAGTATAGCTCCCCCTCCATCACTACCAGATAAGCATATGCTGTAAACAAGGACTCTGTCTGATTAGCATATTAGCCGCTGGGACTCAGGCTTCAGTGCAGCAGCATGGCCACAGGGGCCCTGGTGGCGGCTTCACCCCTGTGGTTGTCACCATGTACAACTAGGCTGGATTACTGTAGCTGCTATGTCACAACAGTTTGAGTCTGAGAAACATTAAATGAGAGGGGGTCAGCTCAGATAGGGTTGGAGTGTAATAAATAGTACAGAACAGAAATAGTTAATGTTTCAAGAGCAGACATTTTGACTTGTGCCAGTGCCAGGGCTCTAATATTGTGAAGTTAAGTCGAAAAAGTTTCATTACTGGTGCAACTAGCACTGAATTGGCAAATACTTATTAACCTGCCTGAGAATCCACACTCTCTTTATTCCAACATTGACAGTATATGATATGGTGCATCAAGGCCATGACATTCATAGTGCACAAAACACCTGAATTTAAACTTTCATTGTTCCGACACTCTTATTTCCCTCGTAAAGTGACTTGATAATGGTTAACATTTTGTAGCAGGTAAGGTTTCTCTCTAGGTATAATACATCAGCATAACCTGCTGAGAGCTGAGTTTCTATATTTCCAAAACTGTGAAAACAAGGCAGACGTGTATAATTAAAAAACAGCCTTTGTGTGCATTGTATGCTTTAAACGTATTTATCACAATATTTTCAAATTGCTTCCTGTAGGCTATATCCTAAACAAAAACAAAAGTATAAAAAGGGAGATGGAAAGGAAGATAAAAAATCACTAAAACACACACCAAGGAGAAACAATTAGAAAATATATTTGCCTGTGACTTCACATTACTCTCCATTAACTTCCTCCCCTGCACACACTTTCATGCATCAGCATTATCTCAAGTATTGTTCTAAAGATCAAAAGCCTTTCTGTTTTATAACCAAGACATGGGTTTGTTCCAGGGGGTTCGGCCTGTGTCATCACGTGGACTATTATATCCCACCCCCCCACACCCAAACCCGTGTCAGCAGCCCTTGGGTTTTTGTCATGGCAGGTCCATAAGTCACCAGGATGGGAGACTGTGACATGGATCATCCCTGGGGGCCCGGATGCTTTAAGCACTTCCACTGCTGAAACGGCAAAGGATGCTCCTCGTCCATCAATGCTTCCCTCTCTATGGCACACACTGGCTTACAGTCAAAAGCATATGAACAGGTTCAAGTGGGACAAACCAAGTGTGCACACACACACGCTAAGAGCAAAGAGCCATGCCATCGATCATACCATCCGCCCCTTACATCATCCGCTTACATTCCTTTATTCCCTCCCATCTCACTTTATACCCTTTTATTCTCATTGACTAAGACAGAAGACAGTGGAGAACGTCCAATCGGAAAACCTTTGACCTGGATAAGACTGATGGTGTCTCTTCCTGGGCGTCTTGAAGCCTGTTCCTTAATTTGTTATCCTCTCCTCTGAGAAAGTGAAAAGTAATATACTCATGAATTCTGTAAAACACATTTGTCACAAACATGTTGTCAAACAGGCTGCTGCCAATGGTTTTAAAATGTATAGCAAATACTCGTTGTAAGGGTGTTTTTCTATAAGAACGTATTTGAATAGTTGCTGTATTTGTAGACACTGAAAAAGTTAAATTATGGGAAAATGATGATTTCTGCTTTATCTACAAGAGCAGATTTATCAGAATGTATTGTGTCTCTTAAGTAATAAAAATTACAATTATCTTGAAGAACTTAACAATTTCAGGAAGTAAATCAGATGCAATATGTTGAGGTTAAGGGAAGGGCAGTAAAGAGGAGACTTGAAGACAAACAGAGAGAGTGTGTGTGAGAAGCAAAGGAACAATGTAACATAACAGCTGGAGAGACAAGCCAGTCTCAGTAAAGGTGATCCAACGTCAGTTTGTCTGCGCTGTTTTAACCAACTGAACAATATGCATCATTAAAATTGCTACATAACAAGTAAAGTATTTACACATACATATTCCTTGTAATGTACTGCGGAGGTGCTGTGTGGAATGCACCGGCAGGCAAAAAGCTACTTTTCCTGATTGATTTATCCTTACAATGACTGCATTTCCTAACATGACTAGATACCTGTCAGTATTTCTCTTCAATGTTCCAACTTGGTTTAAATTAGCAAACCAATTAAGGATGGGCTAGTAATAAGGACTGTCTCAGAAGTAAGAAAGACAGAGGGGGGGATTCAGAAAAAGATCCATATTATGTCAACAGATGGTAGGGACCCCAACAATGATAAAAGCAAGGATGTTGGAAGTAACAGCACTGTGGTCAATAGGAAGGAGCTTCATTTTGCAGCACCTGGCTCTAACTGAGTTACCAGAAGTACAAAAACCGGACACACTAAAGATGACAATATAGTAATGCAAGTTGCTCATTGACGACCAATTCAATGTTGGCCTTGTAGGTATTTGAGTACCCACCTTTGTATTCATTTTTGCAGATCAAGCATCACTCTTTTCCACCTTTCCTGATTTCCTCCCTCTTTCCATTCCTTTTCCTTGGCCTCCTTCCTTGCTCACATCTTCCTGCCATGCATTTGGAAGTGACATTGTGAGATCGATCCCAACACACAGGTGCATTAGCTCAATAAGCAGTTTCTGCTTTGTCAAGCAGCAATTCAATCAATGCCTCCTGTTCCCTACACATGGGCTGAACAGAAGCTGGCAACTCCCATCACTTCTGGTTAGAGAAGCTGAGGAAT